GCTTGTAAGCAACTCTGAGGTGAGGCGTCGTGTATTTGGTAATGATTCGATGGAGAATTCTTTGTCCCATCGAATTTAGATTAGTCGGCTTCGCTGGTTAGGACACGTATTGCGCATGTCCAGCCAACGTCTGCTTCACCGCGCCTTATTCGCAGTTACGGCTCCAGGTTGGAAGAAACCGCGTGGTGGTCAACAGATGACGTGGAAGCGAGGCATGAAGAAATGCACAGGGATTAGGTAGAATCGGCGTCTCCCGTCTTCTAGGTTGGGGTCCGAAAGGCTCTACAACTGGTTGCCTGGAGACATTAAAGGATATGGCGACTGACCGACAGCAGTGGCGCTCTCATTGTCATTTCTTAACAAGGCAGAATGCTTGAAAAAGGTGTGTATGCACACAGATTGTGTACTCTGTGTGTTAAACATAGAGGTTCTTTTTCTTTGCCTCCCTCCAAGTAGGCCCAATCCATCTCAACCTTATGCTTTATCATTTGATTTGTGTACATTGTGAGCTTGGCAGCGATCAGTGAAGCTCGCTTCACTGTATCTCGCTGTATGATGATGATGATGATGGTAAGGAATACCGCGATTTTATTCGATCAGTGTGTGTGTGTGGACATACGCGCGCAAATCCCCTCGGTTCAATCTACCAACGATAACCGAATATGGAGGAGCATTTTTTGTTGTTGAATGAACAATAAACAATACGCTCTAAACGATACTCAAGCATATTCACTAATTATAGTGCTTTATTCAGGTCTATCATCGTTTCGCAACTTCACTTCCGTTCCGGTCGAATCCCACGTGCCACCGATTGTACTTTTGTTCATGCTTCAACAAGCTAGACGTGAAAGTGTGAGATGGAGGGAGGGTGAGCGTGCCCCTTAATTACTTTCGAACAAGGGTTCGTTCTGTGTAGCAAATTTGTACACCCCGTCCGGGTCTTGTTTCGTTTGTTCGATTGGATTAGAGAGGCAAGAAAAAAAGCTCATGTAATTTTACTTCAATTGGTAGATTTGGTGAATGATTTTGCGCATTCGAATTGTGAAAATTCCGGAATGTTTGGTGGAATTCCGTGCTGCATCACCGGGAAGAGGATGAGACGTTACCCCGGACACGGAGTGAAGCATCCAATGTAGGTCCGAATACAATTAGTTTTCAGTTTGTACAACCATTAACCACGCATGTTCGTGCGCCGGTTTTGGTTACTGTCTTTCGGCTGCCCATTTAGATAAATAATAGGAGAAGTTGAAAGCGAAGTCGAAGAGAAAATGGAAAAGTTCAGTGGTCTAAGGTTGGAAAGAAATTGAGAGGATGCACGAACACCACTGTTTACAACACCCAGCCATATCACTCAGTGTCTCTAACCATCGGTTACGATCATCCCGAGGTCCCCATCCAGGGAGCCTAACGGGACCTGTGTGACCTAGACTCGTGGTTGGGGTTTTCCTACCCTCATACCAAGTCTTAGTTTGACCACCCTTGATCTTTTCCAACAGTTACCTGCCTCGGCAAACATCGCTCACCGTGGTAACCTATTTGGAGACATGCGTATCACATGTTCCAACCAGCGTAATCTATGGAGATCGACTACTTGCTCCGATGGACTACCTCAAATTGGCAAATGCCAACCGAGCTTTCTGTATGCGAGCTGGCTCTTCATTCGTGATGTGTCCACCGGGTGAGATGTAGCTGCCCAAATAACAAAAATTATCCACTTGCTATATTACTTCCCCAGTTAGATTGAGGCTGGGAGCTGGACCAACCCAGTCTTGTGGTAGCATTTTACACTTCGAATGTACAAAACGCATACCGAACACTAGCATTCAAACTATCCAGAAAAGCTTGCAACTTACCTGAATCTTCACTTAGTAGCACAAGGTCGCCTGCATACTCTAGGGGGGATAGCCGATTGATACAATC